GCTGACCCTCCTTCCCTCTGCTCCCTACTCCCAGACATTGGGTGCAGGATGATCTCTGGGTCTCGTGGGCCCCCTCGGGGTTTTGGGGTACATATGCCGGTGCATTTACTGGTGTGGGTGTCTCATTGCTTGCTTGCCCATCAGCTGCTGCTCGCTCCGTGCTGTGGCACTAGCCCAGGGAGGGATCTCGGTGCTGGCGTAACCTTTGCAGCCTGCAGGAAAGGTGACTTCCATTTAGTTTTAAGTTATGACATTATTTTATTAGATCTTTAAACTTTATTTAAATTCTTTATTTAAAAAGGGGGAGGAAGGTATCATATTTTAATTAGTAGCGGTGTCAAAGGAGACCTAGATTAATTATTTGAAATCACTCCATCCAGATGGTTTTAATTTTCACAGCAGGGAACCGGCATCTTTTTAAGGTGATATTTTTCAAATTAAAATCAGCTTGGATATTACTCATACTGGCTGCGGAGCGAGGGGGTGGGGAACAGGAGCCGGTGTGCCCCGTGTTTGTCCATCTGAGTGCGGGCTGCCAGGAGGAGCTGGCATGGGAAAGGTGCAGGCTGCCAGCTCTCCGGTGGGACCACAGATCGAGGCTCCTGTGTTGGAGTGTTTTATCAGCGTTACCTCCTCCTTTGGCTGGCCAAACCCCATCTCTGATATTCAGCATTGTTCTTTGCAGCTTTAGTCGTCAGCGCTGAGGCTGGAAGGGATGGGGAATGCCTTACGGCTGAGGTGGGGACTTGCCGTGTCCCGTTCTTGCCTGTGTGCAAGCTGTGGAGCCCTCGCTTGACCTCTTCGGTGGGTGGCCCCAGGTCCATTTGCATGCCTGGGTGGGTTTGATGCTGTAGATCTGTGGGTGACTCCTTGGCACTCTGGGTGTTGGCCGTGGTCCTTGGGACAACCTTTGGGACCTCTTGTGCAGGCTCCATACCCTTCCCTGGTGTGCGGGCTGCTGCTCTCCCCGTCTGAGGTTGACCATTAGTCCACTCCAATGCCCTTGCTCATCTGAGGGGAAGACCTTTCACAGTCATCTCTTTAAAGACAGTCATACCTTTGGCTATTCCCTTGTCTATTAATGCTGCATTGCATCCAAGCAGCCTCCCTGAACTTCTTGAAGCAGTGGGCATTCACCACTTCTATTACCATGTTGCTCATCTTCCCCTTGAAGATTTTTGACCCTGTGCCATCCTCCCCCATCCTTGATCTGCTCATCTTTATATCCTTACTGTGATGGGATATTCCTGGTCCATGTGGCCCTTCCTCACTTCAGTGGTCACTGGTTCGGCGCCACCTTGGCAGGTGCGGAGAAAAAGCCTGCAGCACCCGGCAGATACCCAAAACCACAGTGCATTTCTGAAAGACTTAAATATCCATATTTATGCATGATTGCAAGTAATACTCTGCTATAATACAGGCATTATCCTGCTTGCTGTCAGAAAGAAGTTGTTCTTTAAATATTCCCCGTGATAAAGGTTTAACAAATCTATCTAAATAAATGTAAGCAGCTAGCAACTGGAAAACCCTGAACTTGCATATGTGGCTGAGCTGCAAAGGGAAAACTGCATTCAGGGCCCTTGTGAGTTAAAAGGTTTCTGATATTTGCACTGCTGCAGAAGCCAAAAGCTGACTTTACAAGTGGGAAAAATATTAATGTGTTTAAATGAAACAAACTCCTATTTCTATCCCCATGGTAAATCCTTACAGTGAACATATATGCTCTTAGAGGGTTTTAAAGCTTGAAATATGAATGCCAAAAAGAATGTGACTTTTTGCAGCGCAGATCAAACATTCTCCAGAGTTTGGCAAAAGCCGGGTTTCTACGGTAAGACTCGGGTCTTACAAGCGTGAGTATTTCCAGAGCAGGACCGTGGATTTGCACTTGCTGACACTCACACATTCTTGCGTTGTGTTTCGACCATGTCTCCTTTCTCCCCCTGCATATCGGGGATGGATCTGAACCAAAATGTCCAGTCTGCGTGTTCCTGCCTCTCCAGGGAAATTCCTGGAATCCGAACCTCGAGCATGACTGGAATTCGTGTTTAGATCAGAGAGGGAATAAAACGCTGAATTTGGACGTGTCTAGGTTTTTGAGATGCTGATGCCACGCTACACATCTGGGTGGCAGCTTGGCCACTTGTGCAAATATGGTTGTGTCGGGGCAGGTGGTTTATGAAGATGCAACAGAAATCTGTCCTCTACTGTGGCTCCTGGCCATGCTGCAAACCAGCTCCGGCCTCAATAAACGTGCGAGGCACTATGAGATTGGCCATATTTCTCCCAGCTAGAGCAGGAGTCACGGACCTGGACTGCCAGAAAGCAATTAGTGGCCTCCTGGGAACACAGCTAGACACACAGAGGATGTCTGCAGGGCCGAATTTCTCCCCTGCTAGCTGTTGTGGTCATCTTCAGGAGATCACTGCCGTGTTTTGCACCACGAGCGTATGGCTGGACCACTTCTGTGAAGTGCTCGAGGGCTGCTGGCTCTGGGGAAAGGATTTTTGTCCTTGTCATGCTAATCTTTTGACTTTGTGAGAATAAAATCCATGTTCTTAGCCTCCAAGAACCCTCCTGTGGCGTGAGGGAGAGCATTAGCCTTGAGCTTTATGCTGCTGATGGGTGGTGGGGTTGGTGTGGACTGATGGAGCACACGCGTGTGTGTGTCCATGTTCTGTGCTAAACTGGCTTCAAATCTGGAGCATCCGCACAGGAGCCAGCGCATGGGGTCTGCACCCTGCACCCAAGCCTGGGGCTCAGCCCATGGTGGTTCCTTGGGTTGTTCCCTTGCAGAGCATCCCAGTCTGGTGTGGTTCAGGGAGAGGTAACGGGACAAACGCGCTGATGAGCTTTGCACGCTCTGACTTAATGGGACCGTGTTGGTAAACGATTTTTTTTTTTTTTTCTTCCTTTACAAGCCCAGCTTCTAGTGGAAACGGACACTTTTGGCAGTCAAGTCCGGATCAAAGGGAAGGAGACAGACTTCTACCTTTGCATGAACAGGAAAGGCAAGCTAGTGGGGAAGGTAAGTGGTTCCTATGAACTCATCTGTGACGTGAGCGTTACCTTCTGCAGCCTCCTCAAGGCTGTAACGATACGTTTGAGCTTCGCCTGCCAGCCTCGAATGAAAAGCAGGACGGAGGGGCTGTGGGGGCTGCGAGGCTGCCCGTGCCCTCCCGAGCCCTCCCCTGCCTCCGCAAAACCCAGCTCTGCAGCCAGCCCGGGATTTTCTGCTGTCGCTTCGGACGCGGGTGGGCTTGTGCTTTACAGTTGCGTTAAACTGACGTGAGATGTCATCTCGGCATCCCGGTGTCGCTTCTGCAATAACTCCCTTACTCGCTCTTTTGTTGGAGTGAAATTCAAAATAAAAGGGCAAAGCGGAGCACCGTGCTGGGGAGGTAGGCACCGTGAGGCTCCTCTGCGTGGGGAGCCAGGGGATGGGGTGGCAGAGCCAACACTGGAATCCCAGCATCACGCTGGGGCTGGGCCTCACGGTTCTAGCATTACAGGAATATTTTATTAGTTTGGATCCCCGCACAATGGAAGCATGTAACACATTACAGCGTGTTCACCCATCCAGCTTAACTTCTTTGCTGAAGTCATATTTTTTATGCATTAGCTTGTTTTTGTAACTTAGGCAGTTCTTCCGTATTGTTGGCGAACCTAGAAGCTTGCTAACCAGGCAGGGGCTTGCTCAAAGCTAAAATATTGCCAAAAAATAAATATATAAAATAAAATAACTCAGCCCTCAAAGGCCTCCTCCTCCACTGCCCGCACTTTGCACCACGGGGAATTCAAATCTGGCATTTCTGTGGCTGTGAAAAAGGGAAGCTGAGTTTTGTTTTGAGTCAACACAGCCGAAAGCTGCACTCCCAAACAGAAACCAGAAACCAAATTGCTCTGATGAAACATTATTTACTTTTGTGGTCCCGAGAGTGACACTTGCGGGACAAGCGCCTTCCCTGGAGGATCCCTCCTGCCACTTTTGTTTTCCTCGTGAGCGGTGCAGATGCTTCTGTCGGGACTAAGCCCAGCTCGTTTGCCG